ATAATTTTATGACTTTATTCTCATAATTTTACGACTTTATTCTCGTAATTTTACAACTTTATACTCGTAATTTTACGACCTTATAATTTTATGACTTTATTCTCATAATTTTACGACTTTATTCTCGTAATTTTACAACTTTATACTCGTAATTTTACGACCTTATAATTTTATGACTTTATTCTCATAATTTTACGACTTTATTCTCGTAATTTTACGACTTTATTATCATAATTTGACTACTTTATTATCATAGTGTTGCGACTTTATTCTCGTAATGTTATGACCTTATACTTTTATGACTTCTTGTAATTTTACGACTTTATTCTCGTAATTTTACGACTTTATAATTTTATGACTTTATTTTCGTAATTTTACGACTTAATTATCATAATTTTACTACTTTTTTATCATAATATTGCGACTTTATTCTCGTAATTTTACGACCTTATAATTTTCTGACTTTATTCTCGTAATTTTACGACTTTATTCTCATAATTTTACGACTTTATTCTCATAATTTTATGATTTTATTCCCGTAATTTTATGACTATTCTCGTTGGGACTTTTTTCTCAGAATTTTATGACTTTGGTCTTGTAATTTTACGATTTTACTATCATAATGTTGCAACTTTATTCTCGTAATTTTACGACTTTATTATCATAATTTTACGACTTTATTATCATAATTTTATGATTTTATTCCTGGAATTTTATGGTTTTATTCTCGTAATTTCATTGGGACTTTTTTCTCAGAATTTTATGACTTTGTTTTCGTAATTTTACTACTTTAATATCATACTGTTGCGACTTTATTCTTGGAATTTGAAGACAAAAAAAAAATCTCTAGCCTGGCCCTAATACTCTGTCGTACAGTTTTGTACTTTATTCCCTGTAAATCATAAAACTAATTTTCGACGGTTTAAATGCAATGATCCAGCAAGATCAAACTCAGTATAAGAATCATGTTGCCATGGTTTCCCTACAGCACCACACTTTTATGTTTCCAATTTATAACTCCTAACCTAATATAGCTGTATTTATAATGTAACAAAGTAAAAAAAATACTTTATGAGAAGGAAATAAAATTAATTTTTTTCTTAATAATGTCCAAAGTCTGGTTGCAAAACCTTTGCAATGAACTGTAACCTAAATGGCAGTAACAAAAGAAGCTCAAAATGAATTTCCGCAGAAATTCAGCCCACGAACATGAGGAAACCCTGGATGACGGAACACTCAGACCTCTGGAGCCGTTTATGTCCATTCAGCTCCAGCAGAGGTCAGCAAAGCTCACCTTTGTGTGGAAGATCCACACATTTCAGAGGTCCTTTTAAAACATCCAGAAAGTCTTTTTGTGAGTTTATCCTCTAAGAAGTTTCAAACATGCAAAGACTTGAATCATCATCCCCCGGTGACTCCACAAACACCTCATCATCTGTCTCCTCGTCTTCCCCTTCCAAGATGGCAGTCATGGGGGCAGCAAAGAGACGGCAGCGGGCAGCGAACCGTCTGCTGCTGGAGCAGGGAGGAGTTAGGGACCGAGGACGCGTGTGGGAGGAGGAAAAGACCAGGAAGGGTGAGGAAGAGGCGGATGGGAGAAGAAACTGACTGTGGATCAGATCCCGTCGTTTCCAGCCAAACATCATGGAGAGCGAAGGCGATAACGGAGGGAAATTCAAAGACAGCAGGGAACTGGGATTCCCAACAGCAGAGGAGGGGTTAACAGCCTTCAACTCGTCGGGAGTCAGAGGACCAGGAGGATTCTCCTGGTGTTTAGAAAGAGCAGGATGGAGCTGACCTACAAAAAGACGCTCCACTGCTGAGATTCGAGAAGAAGATTCAACTCGGCTGCCTTTCCTCAGCAGGAGAGCCTTAAAACTCTCACTTCTGCCGGGTCTGTGATTCCTGAGTCCTGCTGCTCTGGTGAGACAGGATGGGGGATCAGCAAGAATCTCTGGAGAAGAAGAGGAGGACGATGAAGAAGACGAAGGAAAACAATGCTTCTTTTCTCCCAAGTCTCTTTTTCCAAGCATCTTTCGCTTAGATCTACGAAAATTAGACAAAAGACGACAGTTAGACACTTGTGTTTGGTGCATTTCAGACTCTACTCTACAGGCACTCAGCTCAGGTTGAAGTCACAAATACCAGGTAGGGGAGGAAACAAGGAATAGAATTAGATACAAATAGGTCTCTTGGGAAAAAAAAAGGTTATAGCTGAACATCTAAGTTTCCTACTTGGGTGACAAAGGCTTGGCAGGACTAACTCCACGGTGCTACGTCACAGGATTTAGGAGCTAAAGGCTTTGCATACTCCCACAGCAGTGTGTCGCAGTTAGCTTGTCGCGGGTATGATGCAGATATTTTTGATTTATGCCCAATATTTTAACTTGGTCTGCACTATATTATTCCAAACCACAATGCAAGAGAGATGATCACAAACTAGCTAGGATTGTGGGTGTCCGTGTGTCTGTTTGATGAACTTTTTCATCGTTGTGGAGTAAAAAATGCTGAGATATGTCTGTTCTTAGCCTCAGAGGCTCCAAACGAAGGTCATGAGAGATAAGAATGAGTTATCCAGCTTCCTTTATGGCATGAAGGGGAGTTCTGCTGTTATTAGGAGATCCATCTGGCCATTAAAAGATATATTAACCTAACAGGTAATGGTCTTGATGAACTCAAGTTGATTTTCCTCCAAATGTTCAAGTGTGAGAAAGTTCTTTATGCTTGGTGTGGGTTGGTTCGCCTTGGGGGAGTGTGTGATTTTGTAAGGTATAAATGTATGTTCTGAGATATGGCCAGTTAGAGCCTATCTCTCCTCGTCTTAGCTTCCTAGCCCCACACCATCTACAACCCCTCATCCAATGCCGGTCGAACTTCACCCGGTAGTTTTCCCCAAAGACTTGCCGTGGCGCTGTGTGTTTTGGCTTCGGGTACAAACCAAACAGACCGTCACAAGGAGCTACTAACTAGCATTGTGCACGGTGTCAGGGATAGTGTCCGAGGTGTGCCAGGCGTTGTGGACGGTACTTCAGCCAGAGTTTCTGCCATTAGGTACCAAACAGGAAATACGCATAGTGTAGAGCGGATGTAGAATTGACCAATCAGAGGTCTCCTGTCTGCGGTCATCAGTTAGGGTGAGGTGCACGATAGTGTCTGCGGAAGGGGGGGTATATCTATGTTAACTGCGACACACACGCAGACGACCTTTTATGTTTTACCTGCAACCTGAACACCAACTTGTTTATGCTGTGCCTTCCCACACGGCACTGCTCCAGGGGCAAAAAAGGGCATCAAGCATATAGGTCAGAATATGGCTTGATGTTGGTTAGAATATAAACAATCAGTGTGAATTAAGGAATACCTGTGGATGATGGTGAATAGATCCTCTGTGGTGCGAGGGCAACCAGATCCCAACATCTGTTCCGCTGAAACGTTGATGAAAACATCGTCTGGAAGGTGAAATAGTTGCACAGAAACCAGAGGTTCAAGACAGAAAGGAATTTAATTTAATTAATTTATATGGACCATAACTGCTGGGTTATGGTGCTTCAAGGACACAGATAACATGGAGACTAAAGAACCTTTAAACTGGATAAATACACGTAATCCGGGATGAACTAGACATGAACATCATGTCAACCACAAATGCAGAATATTTCAGACCTCTAGCTACAACAGTTCCAGAGCAGTGGGGCTTTGAACTTTTGGTGTTCCCAGCGTCTCAAAATCTCTTCAATTATTGCCAAATGCTTTTACTCAACCATTTGACCCATAGAATAACACTGAAGCATTTTGATGACCACAAAACATTCTTGAAGCAAGTATTTTCCACTTTTTTTTATAATCAGTGTATATAAAAAAGTAATATTTATAAACCTAAAGTAACGTAAAAATCTATTAAAAATAGTGAAACTACTGCTTTTCAAGCTAAAATAAGCCCAATTGCCTTTTCTGAGCTGTATTTTGTCATTTTTTTCAGCCTAGAGCATTGTAATAAAACAAAATCAGCGTCCAAAATAAAAAAAAAAAAAGATTGTTATTGTTTAGCTTCAGAGCTGCGTGCATTGAAACACTCTCAGCTGTGTGTTTCACTCTTATTTAAGCCGGTAACATGGCTCTGCTTTATGCAACCCGGTCATGGTGAGCCTTGTTTGAAAACTTATTTAATTGGCTACAAAGCCAAACAGCCCACATGGTCTTAACCAATAACAGCAGGACTCTATGAGGCATAATATCGCTCTATTCATTTCATCATTGGCTGACAGACAAAGAGCGCTTGTGAGGCTTCAGCGGCTGTCCCTTACTCAAATTGCATCAAACAAAGATGCAGACACTTTTGTCTTGTAGGTAAGAAGTTGGTGTAAAGATACACACCAAACATTGCAGACAAACATTTTAAGAAGTAAGTAAGAAGTAATTAGCAAGATGCATTAGCATTAGCTATGACCAGCTAACCTTTCTGATGTCAAAGACTGGACGTTATGGGCGATTTTCTCATCATGGCATATTTTTATCACAAATATGCTGGATTACTTTTCCCTTTGGACCCTGATGGACGAATGGAGTATAAACAATTGGAAACTGGATTTAGAAAACAGCTTCTGGATACCTTCAAAGGAATGTTGTCATGGCTGCTTTGTCATGTTTACATTTTGACATGCTGTAATATCTGTGTTATTTTGCTTTGGTGCTTGCTTTGTTCATGTAAAGAGCTTGGTGGTTGAATTTTGGAGAATCCAAGCTTCCCATCGATGTCTAACATGTCTGTATTGGTAAAAATGTGAATGTTCATGCATTCTTAGATATTTGTAACGGATGCTATAAAAACGGTCGCCGGTGATTGGGTGGGTTCGGAGAGGATAAAGGATTGAGAGCCATGGCTGTAATAGGAGCCTTTCCTCACTGATCACACTTTGCATGGAGCATATCCAGAGAGCGTACTTTCCTTGCTTATTGGATCAGGGATGTTGGCCAACTAAGTTAATGTTTGAAAATCTGTGTCCCATGAAAGCTCCAGCTTTACACAATAACTCTGACTCAATCCTTTCCTTTTAACAAAATATCCACAACTCACCATCCGATGCTCTGCTTTCCTCTACGACCTCATCTCCTTTCCCCTGGTCTCCATCCTTTCCTGGTTCCTCCTCCTCTTCATTTGGTTCCTTGATCCGTAGGTCTGGCAGTGAAAGTTCGCCTTGTAGGCTCTCATTTGATAGCAAACTGCTAAGTGAAAACCTCCTCTGACCCATCAGAGCATACGAGCTTTCAGAGTCGCTTGTATCTTGATCACACACTTTGATTTTAAGTATACTGTCGCTACTTTCCTTTATTACATCTCGTTCATCTTCTGACGATGATGATGAAGACGATGATGAAGGAGAGGAGGAGGAGGATGATGATGAGGAGGAGGGAGAGGGCTTCATTTTTGGTGACATAATCAACAACTTTTGGCTTAGCTGCCGTTTCCTCCTCCTCCTTGATTTATTAACTTTTTTGGATGAAGTCATTATCATCGTTACTGTGTTCTCCCCCCCTTCTTCCACTCCCTCCTGCTCAACATTTTCTTCCTCTTCAGCAAGTGAGGATTTCATAATCCGCACGAGACTGGTTTTCTCTTCATCTTGTTTCCCATTCCCAATGATCCCACCTAAAATGGGCCCAGATGCTTCTGTTTGGATTCCTTCAGTCCAGGTAGACGGGATATTACAGATTCCTCGGGCACCCGGTACCTTTAATCCTGAAGAGCAATGAGTGTTGTACCTACTGATTATTTGTTGTGTGCTGCAAGCATCGCCATAGTCTTTACCAGATCTTGGGTTGCCCATGGTTTTTAAGATGTCTCCGGTGTCTATTGTGGCCTTAATGTCTAAACCATCAGTGTTTGCTGCAGCCCATTTCAGTTTCGTTCCAGTGTTTTCGGATGCAAAAAATGGCTTTGCTATCTTGGGAGAGCTCAACAGAACATCTGACTTCCTGTGCTTTTGCTGATGTGGGGAAGTGTCAGGTGAGTTCCCTGTGTTGACTGGGCATCCTGGTATTTCCGATTTGTCCAAAATGCTTTTCAAATTCTTCGACAATGGCATATTGCTTGCTGAATATGTTTGGGATAGTGTGGAATCTAAAGTATTAGGTTGAAATGAAGACTCTGTGAGTTGCCCAGAGTCCTTAAACCCCCCTGGACCTCTTTTAGTCTTCGGGGATTTAAGAAGATCCAGAATGTCAAGATCAGGCTTCTTAGGTAGAACGGGTTTCCCTGGGGAGCAGAGCTTCCTCGGGCTCTGAAGATCTCTTTTATCGTTTTTCACATCTATCTCGCTCTGAATTTCAAACGTAAATGTGTTACATTCATTAACTTTTTTATTTAAGTTTTCTCTCATTGGCCCTGTTTGCTTTGCCGAGTCTGCTTCGGAAGAAGATCGTTTCAATGGGAGGTTTAAAATATTGGTGTTCATTTGATATGCCTCCTCATCGTCAGGACACGTTTCTACCGATGGGGCGTCAAGACTGGAGACTTTGATACTTTCTAGAGGAGGACAGATGTCCGAATTTTTCATCTGTTGTCCATCCAGTTGGATGTTTTGGATCGTTTCTCTGTTTAGTTTAATGTCATGGTCTTTGATGTTGTCATGTAAACTTTTAAGATTAGCATCACCTGACTCTTTATTTGAATTCACACTTTCACTTGTTATTGGGTCTTTCCCATTGAGTTCTGGCTCTTTTAATTCAGTACTAACTTGGAGAGTGCCATTTACTGTTAACTGATTTACCTCACTGCCACTTGCAGATTGATTGATGAAATTATTTGCTCCTTGCCTTGAAACCTTTGTATCAGTATTAGCAAGACTATCCAGAAATGATTCATTCATTACATCACAATCTGTTATGTGGCATTTGCTGTCATTAGGGTCATGTTTTCCCTGCGTTACTTCCTGTTTCTTGACTGAGCGAAGCTTGACGCACTGCAAAGCTTGAGAGGTGATCAGAGAGTAGGGCCCTGGAGACGGAGGTGGAGGACAAGGTGGTGGAGGAGGCAAGTCAGACATGTCAGGGAATTTCAAAGATGGCAGAACTGGGGGAGGATCCTTGTTGGATGATACTGTGGAGACCAGAGCATGATATGAGGTCTGCCTCACAGCGTAGGAGTAGGGAGGAGGTGGAGGCCGGATGGCAGTAGGTAGAGGAGGAGCAGGGGGTAGGGATAAAGCTGGGAGAGCATTAGGAAGTGGAGGAGGAGGTGCTTTGTTAACAGACAGAGGAACATGGAGGCAAAAGTCAGGCATGGAAGGGGTGGTAAGTGGTGAAAGAGAAGGACAGGAAGACAGTGGAAGTGGTGGAGGGTTAGAAGTGATGGCTGTAGGGGCAGGAAGACGGGGAGGGATGGACTCAGAGGGAACAGGAGGAAGACGAGGAAAGGGTGGAAGACAGGAAGCATGAATATAGAAGTCAGGGACTGGAGAAGTGGACTGTGGAAGTGGGGGAGGTGGTGGTGGAGAAGGAAGATTAGTAATTGAAAGAGAGGACTTGATGGCTAGGGGAATAGATTGTGGAAGTGGTGGCGGTGGAGGTGGTGGGGGCAGAGGAGGAAGATTAGTAACTGAAGGGGAGAACTCAAAGACTGGGGGAGTAGATTGTGGAAGAGGTGGCGGTGGAGGTGGTGGGGGCAGAGGAGGAAAATTAGTAACTGAAGGGGAGAACTCAAAGACTGGGGGAGTAGATTGTGGAAGAGGTGGCGGTGGAGGTGGTGGGGGCGGACAAATATTGTTAATTGGACGGTAGAAATCTGGGGCAGGTGGAGTGGATTGTGAAAGATGAGGAGGATGAAGAGGAGGAGGCAGAGGGAGTCTAGGGAGAAGTGGTTGTCTGGCTAAGGAATCAGATGAGGTATAAGAGGAGAGAGAAGATGTGGAGGAAGAAAGAAGAGATGACTTCCTCTGTGGCACTGGGGGCTTTGGCCTCCCTTTCCCATAACACCTGGTCCTGGGCAGGGAGGCGGCTGAGGGGGATGTTGGTATGGTTGAAGAGAAAGATGTCAAGGAAGGGGAAGTTGGAGGGAGGGAAAAAGCACTAGGGCTTGCTGTAAGAGGAGAGGAAGGATTGTGGGGTGAAGAAACTGGAGTTCCAGGACTTGGGGTATTGGACTGGCTGGAGTAACCACTAGATGGAGAGGCAAGGCACGGAAATCCGTCAACAGAGGAGTCGGATGGATGACTAAGTGTAAGTTTAAGGTCTTTATCCTTTAAAACTGGAGATCCAGGATTCAGCATGTGGCAGTGTTTGGGGCTTAATAGGTTGGTACCAGAGGGATCAGAGTCACTAGCAGATGGTTTGTTGGAGTTTGGACTCAAAGGCTCAAAGGTTATGACCGTCCCACAGTTCAGACCACTTTCATCTTTTCTAGTATTGCTCCGGAGCACCCAGGGATCAGGAAAGGTCTGAGGAGATGAGATGGGTGTTTGCAAGGTGTTGCGATCAACACGAGGGCTCCGGTTGGGACGTGGGCTCGTTGAAGAACACGGGGCCCTGCTGCGACCTGGCCGACGCCTTAAAGAGTCACAGCGGAGTGGTGGTGGTGGTGGGACCTTGGACTTGCGTAGAGAGATGCTTCGTGTTATAGTCTGGGAGTAAAAGGCTGAAGTGCTTGACTTTCTTTTCTCGCGGTTCTGTGAGGGAGATAAAAGCATCTTCTCAGAGCAAAGGGAGGTGTTGTCATCGCAGAAAGGGGTAGAGCGACCGGAGGAGAGAAGGGGTTCACAGTTCCAGCCTTCCTCAGAGACACTTCTTGTGTCTTGATTGATACCACTGATGATGCTGGAACTGGGAGAGAGTGGTCTGTAGTTCCAGCTCTCACCGCTGCAGGAGTCACCATCAGAGAAGTTCTGGGCATTTTTCTTGGTGATGTTCGGCTCAGCCAGAGCCTGGTAACTATACTGAGACACTGAATCAGCAATGGAGGAGGAGGAAGAGGAGAGGCAGGGAGAGGGACCCTCATCTAAAGCCGTTTCACCGGGATAAGACCACTCTGACTGTAGTTGACTGGGGGTGTCAGAGGTATACGAGTTGACAGGGGAAGCAGGAAAACAAGGCGACGAGGAAGAGGGTGACTGGGGCATGACCCTGACAGTGGGGTCATAGAGCAGCAGTGGCTGAAAGTCACTTGGGAACCCTTGCTGGTCCTGTGACTGAGGAGGGAAGGAGAAGAAAAGAGACACAATCTTTAGTTTCATCTTTGTTAATTAATTGTGGCATTTTGTTTGATGAACTGACCTGGCTGTAGGAGGACGAGGCACTGGGCGTTGTATGGGTGTTGCTTTTAAAGCCGACCTCAGAGCTCAGAGAGGAGTTGGTAGGCGGGATACGACCATCGGAGGGAGATGACTGACAGGAGACGGGCTCTTTGCCTATATTTGGTGAGGAGGTGAGGGAGGCCATCAGACTGGACATGCCTTCTCCTTTAGGGGCTCTGATTCTTCTTGAGGTATACTGCCCCTCCTTTCCGTTTCTTTCACTTTCCCACATTTCCACCTCTCTGCTCTTCTGTTGAGAGGAGACTGAGGAAGCAGGTCGACCCACAGTGGAGTACTGACCCGGAAGATCCAGAGAAACTGAAGGCTTGGGGAGGACATTATCCGATAAAGCAGAAACGGTCTTACGGCGGCTCAGTTTATGAGGTCTTCGATTCAATGAGTCTGTGTTTGAGAGCGTTCTCCGAAAACTGGCCTGTCGATCAAAACTCTCACCTTAAAAACAAAGAAAAACAACAAATCATGTTGAAAACCATGATCATAAAAGTTTTGAATCCAGTTAAAACAGTTTAAAGCATAGAAATAAACTAGAACTAAACGTGTAAAACATCTAAAACTGGGCATACATTTTAAGATTTTTTCAGTTGTCGCCTGCAGCTACAGCTCAAACTGTAAGAAGAAACTGTAGGGTTTAAAAGTTCACAGCTCCCGATGTTTGTTCTCACACTGTGCGACTCGACGCTCTGACATTTTGAATTGAAAAAGCTTCCTGGATGTGAAGAGAAACATCTTTAAACTTGGAAACAAAGTCCAGTGGATTGTTTTTTTTACTCTTTTAAATTTGAAACCTCTTAAGTCTTGCCAGTTTGGAGGTATTTCTCTGCGGTCCTTTTGAGGCCATTCTTTTTGCTTCAGATGCGCTGTACCTGTTACATTGATGGGAACTATATCAGCGGCGACTGCGTCCGCCTGCTGTCTCATCTTCTCCTCCGGTGTTGGAAGACGCTGAAAGGGCTCCACATCCAGGTTGGAGTTTGAGTCACTTCCTGATCCGAGGTCGTCCCAGGCGGAAGTGAGACTGATGGGATTTAGGACCAGTGGAGTCATCGGCCGTGGGTTGGTGAGGAAGAACTTCTCATCTTCATCCGAAGAGGCTGAAGACTAACCAAAAAAATAAGGTTTTCTTTATGTCTCACATAAGCAAAGACTGCTTTATACATGTTATGGTTTGATATAGACATATGTAGACTATGTGGGCGGGGGACTAAGATAATATTCCATACTCACTACCTGGTTTTCTAAACTAATATGTATCAAAACTAACTTTGAGAACATCAGCCCCTATTTACCTTTCTCCTCCAAAGTGAAAACTTGAAACAAACTGAAAAACAAGACTGAGAAAGAAAGTCCAAGAATCTAATCCTCTGAGAGGAGGAGAGGTGGGTGGGAAGAGGAAAAAAAGATAGAAAAATTAGATTTGTGAATCCATAATAATGGAGAAATAACAGTTTCAATGGCAGGATTTGATCAGCAGGTGGAAGTGGAAGATATCCTCATATCCATAGACCTAATACTAGAGTAGACACCACATTGATTGCTTTCGCCTGTGGGTGCTGATGTGATCTGGTGGCGCCATCTTGAGGCGGTCGATAGCTCCTGTAAATGTAATGTGTTGAGCAGGCAAAATAATCTATCTTAATCAACTTTTAAGTATTAACTTTTTTCACGGTTGTTTTTTTTGCTAAAAACAAACAAATGTTTCAGCGCATTTTAACATTGTTAGTGGGGTTA